TTTTTCAATAAAGCAACATATAGTATCTTTAAACTTGCATTATTTTAATATATATATATACACACACACACACACAATTATTATTTTATTCATAAATAATGCGTGCTTTTAATTATAACAACAAAATATTATAACAAATCTAAAAACGGTAAAATTGAAAAATAATGATTGATATTTATAAGTTGTGAGAGTAGGTTGGAAATGGAGCAGAAATTATAATCGTGTCAAAAACAAGTGTGAGTAATAAGATATCGCGACAAGAATGTGTATTTATTACCTACATCGAACAATTACTTATGTTAATCCAAATTCATCGAGAACGAGTTGGCTGTGAGTAATCAAAATTGCCAACAAGAATTCGCTGTCCTTCAATATTTCCTCAAACCTTGACGCGTTTGTATTTGACGTGAATCCTTCACTGACGCTTCTTAGAACTGTCAGACTAATTAAAACTTAAAAACTGATTGGAGTGATCGGAAGGGTTACCAGATTTTAGGCGACTTTTGCACTATTCTACACTGCACTGATCGCACTGCACTGCCTACACTTGTATTGTCAATTGTAGTGCCAGGACTGTCAGGGAGACTTTTGTCGACTTGTGTCACTTCAGTCACTTGTAAATGGAAGGCACCCATAAATTGCGATAAGTTAAATGCTCCCTGATTATCTGTGTGATTTGTACATGTGAGAGTGAATGAACACAAATATGGCGCTGTCCAGTACTGTCTTCAAACGTAGAGGCGAAATCGGCAATCTACTCATAAGAGTCTGTGGTTGAATAACAGCTGTTGTAAACGATAATAACCGGACATCGGGCATGTCATAAGAAATGCAGAAAACGACAATAATGATGTGTGATAGGAAATTCGAATCCAAACGGCGGAGTCCGTTCGTATAATCTGAGAGAGATTTATGGAATTCCACAAACGCCATGTGTCCTGCACTATTGGAGAATGAGGAGCGATGTTTGGGTGGCATGACTTTTTTCGCGCAAAGCCACCCAGTGGAAGTGTGCGGCAGCAACGGTCTACCACTCACTCCAAATTCCATAACTATCTATGGGAAGGCGCAATTTCTAAAGACCATCTACCATCCTCATCTCTCTCCCTATCTTGACATAATTAGAAGCAAACATGGTGAGTTTTGACAATGCAAATAAGTTTGTTTTCCACTGAGACTGTATAAATTATTTTTGTATATTTGTAGAGAGGATTGTGGTTGTTATGGAGTACAGTGGAAATGCATTGAGCACTAGGCATGATTTAAGTACAGAAGAAATCGTCAAGATATCCTTTCAGAGTCTCTTAGCATTACGACGCATGAATGAACTAGATCTCGTACATAGACACTTGAGTCCAGATAATATATTGATTAAGAAAAATGGTGATGTCCAATTATACAACTACGGATTATATTACATGACAGATGGAGGAAAGAATGTATCTTTCCCAATTGGGTATTTTTTCAAATATTTCTTTTTACTAATATATATATATATATATGTTTGTTATAAAATTATAAATAAATTTTCTTTTCTCAGTTCTCCAAAATACACGGCACCAGAGGTATTTCTAAATCCTAGTCCGAGTGGTGTTAAAATAGACTCTTGGTCTCTGGGAATGATTATAGCGGAGCAACTATTAGGACAACCTATCTGGCCTGGTATAAAATTATCCCAGTGTTTGAGGAGAGTTCTGAGCTTAATATTGTGTGATACTGGCATATTTGAACGTCTTGCCAGAGAAAACAATTGTTTCCACACTTATGAAGTACAGATTTATCTATTATGTATTATAATCTGTTTACATTATAATGTTATATCTTATAACATTACATCTTTGTATCATACAGAAGTTACCAAGAGAGCTAAAGGAATTTGTAGATTCGTGTCTGCAAATTCATCCTACTAAGCGTAAAACTCCAGAGGATTTACTGGAGTTGCCGATATTTGCGGAACATTTAATAAGAAATACACAAGAAAAGGAAGAAAATCTCTATAAGAATGTTATTGTTAGAAAAATGGATGAGTTATACTATCTATGGCAATTGGCCGGTGGAGATATTACTGTAGATCTAAAAAAGCAGAGTCTCATTAGATCAAGACCACCTATCTTATCTATTCCAAAGTAATTTTCAAATATATATGTATAAAATAATCATTCATATAATTACATTGTTCAATGCGATTATATCAAATATTTGAAATTTTTGTTTCAGTTTAGTCATATTACTTGGTCAAATGTTTGGCCAGAGAGACACTGCTAGTCTACTCGATGTAAGAGTCGTAAAAGTTCCTATGGAGACTCTTCGCCAGCGTTTAGCTCATATCCCATACATAGCAAACTATCCTTGGTTAACAAACCAGTCAGTTCACTTTTATCTCTCATCCTGTATCTATTTTAATATTACGAATTGTTATAAAAATTTTACATTACAGAATGCGAGTTCAGGGACAAGAAGATCTGACGAATGCCGCATCTCAGTTGCCATTAATCATAAGGGAGCGTGATACAGAATATCAGTTTTATAGACTTGTTCTATTCGACAGACTTTTACAGGCTTATCCGCTTACTCAGGAGGCAATTATCGAGGAAGCACATAAAGATATACCGCCTCCAGTTAGAGGTGCCGTATGGGCGGCCTTGCTTGGTATCACCGGCGATATACAGAAGCGTTATGACATGATTGATAAGGAAACGCCCACTCATACTGATCGGCAGGTATATAATTGCTATATAATATGGTACTCGACATGTAAATGCATTTTGCTAATAATTTGATTTCAGATAGATCTATAATAATTTCAGATAGAAGTAGACATACCGAGATGCCATCAATATAGTGAATTACTGTCATCTGGTGCTGGACACGAGCGATTGCAAAGATTGCTAAAAGCGTGGGTCAGGAATAATCCACATTATGTCTATTGGCAAGGGCTCGATTCGCTGACAGCTCCGTTTCTTTATCTAAATTTTAATAATGAAGGTATGACTATCCAACATATTTTTGTATCTTTATCTGTAACCGGAATATAAAATCCTGGTGACCCTGAGACATTTTTTTAATTTTTAAATAGTGTAATGATTTGGAATAATTTTTATATTCCACATCTTATTTTTCATGATTTTATTGGTTACAATTTTTTATAGTTGAAAATTTTTAGACTTCTAAAACTATGTAATAACAATTTTTTATACATAATTGAATAATAATAATAATAATTTTTTACAGTTGAAAATTTTAAAACTTAAAACTATATATGTAATAACAAAAAACTTTAATAGGATCCATATATTTTTTTAGTCATAAAAAATATGTTTTCCTGTTATGAATTAATGTATCGCGCAATTGGTTTTAGCTCGAGCTTTTGCGTGTCTGTCAACCTTTATACCGAAGTATCTCCACAAGTTCTTTTTGAAAGATAACTCAGCGGTAATACAGGAATATTTGGGCAAATTTTCCCAAATTATTGCGTTCCATGATCCTCAATTAGCGAATCATCTAAAGTCCATAAATTTTGTACCGGAACTTTTCGCCATACCATGGTTCTTAACAATGTTTTCACGTAAGTTTTGCTATTGATATGCTTTTTCAATACGTCATATTATTAATTGTTGATATAAAAATTAAAAAATGACTAATGTTTTAGACGTATTTCCATTGCATAAAATATTGCATCTATGGGATAAACTATTGCTGGGAGACTCGTCGTTTCCTCTCTTAGTTGGATTAGCGATATTGAAGCAACTGCGAGATTCCTTATTAATGTCAGGTTTCAATGAGTGTATTCTCTTGTTCTCTGATTTACCCGAAATTGATATAGAATTATGCGTTAAAGATTCCATGACAATGTATCAAAACACACCCGCTAGTATTACATACAGAAAACACCAGTACAATACAGCAAAGGTACAGTATTGTTGTAATTGATTATTTGCATATTATAAAATTCTAATTAATTCGTAGGATGCAAACTGGATTGAACCTGAAGCGGGAACCGAAAAGATGCCAAGAATAAGTGTGGAAGACTTTTTAAATCTTTACAACAATTCACCGAGTAAAGTTATAGTGGTTGATGTACGTAGTAATATACAGTAAGTATTCGTTTTCAAATTGTAATAACAAAATTCTGTTGAAAAAATTTATTTTCTAAACTAATCTGTTTTTAACAGATTCGAGAGGGGTGCTGTTCTCGGTAGTATTAACATTCCATTTACAAGTGTGCAATTATCTCAAACTCACATCGACACACTCGGACCGCATGCAAAACCGTTGACAGATAATAAAAGCAATGTCGTTGTGATTATTGGGCCACACAATCAAAACAATGCACTGGCAAGTAAATCATGTATAAAAGGAAATTGTGAAGAGAGATTTAATTGTAATATATTTTATAATATAGTTTGCAGAATTTCTGGTAAAATGCAGTGTCATAGGAGTCTGTTCTCTGCAAGGCGGAATTAATGCGTTACGCTCCAAGTCTCCGAATATTATAGTACCTGCACGTTAATTGAATTACGTAATTGAGTTACTATACATATAATACTCAAATGTATTCTCTATACCAGTGCTGGAATTTAGTTGCACATTTTGGCCGATTTTCAGCTTGGTTCCTGCCCCTTGTCTAAGACCGATCAGCATTTAGGCTGCGCGCAAGTTGGTGAAGTAAAGGGCAGGAACTAAGCTGAAAATCGGCCGAAATGTGCAACTAAATCCCAGCTCTACATAGTACTCTATATAGTACAATTGATATACGATATCTGTAAATCTGTATAACGATCTTGTACAATTTTGTTATAAAAAATTTTATTGTATCGCGTGACTCGATTATTCACAAATGATATGCCATATATGCTTCGTATGTGTACACTCCGGTTGCTATGACAACGAATGTCAAAGTTGTGAACACTAAAGCTTAGACATGTGCCTTTTGTTGCACACTTTTTGATTAGCTCATATATTGATTTTTACTCGTATAATATTAACTTAGGTAAACAAGTATGGATAAAAGTGTACCACCGGATCTTCACAAATGGCTAAGAAAATGCCTAAAGAAGGAGTTCGGAAAAATTATACAAAGCGCTTTAGACAAGGAGCAAGTGCCCAGCGATATCGCCTACAAGCTCTCACATTCGAAGGATATGACTGCTTTGTTGAATTCTATGAAGAAGGTAATCGCCGAGCAATATGTGGTGGTAAAACCTTCATCCGCGGCATCGCAATCGCAATCGTCACATTCCTTCGCCAGCGATATCGCAGTAGACGACTGGACTTCTCCGCAAGGGAATACGGAAGAATACAACTGTATTATCGACAAAATTAGTCGTGACAAGCCAGTCCATGTGAGATTGGCTGGCTATGAAATTTTATTAAAGATCGAATTATCCAACATAAATAATTGTTCTCAGTGGGATGTTTTTCAAAAGACGTTGCTGGATGGTCTCACAGATGATAGCAGAGCTATATTCGATGCCAGCATGCAGGTACATGCAAGGTTACTGAATTGCTCGCAATTAAACCATACTTACAGCAATTTATTGAACGCATTCAATGCGCAATATCATTCGCAGAAATTGCGCGAGACTCTGCCCACTCTAATCTCTGGAATTAATTTCAAATTTTTCCTGCATGAGAAACTATTTTACATAATGCATCTGATAGTTCGCTATCAAGAGGAAATGTTGAAAAATACTAGACACAGCGACAAGACTGTGGAAGAAGTTATAGAGCAATTTATAGTATTTCTCAGTACACATAGCTTTGGCAACTTGTTGCAACCTAAAACTTTAAATATGCTAAATATTATCTCGGTATTAGAGCCGCAGGCCAAATGGAGCAAAAGGTGGCTCCATAGTCTCTCTATCAGGAGAACTTTCATCACTATTCTAGCAAAGTCTCCAGCGTTTTTGCAAAATGTTATTGAATGCGTTAAGAGCGGTGTGGCAGAAACACCTTGTTCCTTGTCCATCTCTATCATGGATGAAAATAATGAGCTATGTATCCCTGGCAATACAATAGAAACCGCAACTTATCTGCATTGTTTGACCTTTGTCTCGCAGCTCTGCAGCTATGAGGCGGGTAGAAAGTTGCTCGCGGAGAGTTCATTAAAAACGCCATTTGATGTGGCTGATTTCTTAATAGAATTATTGAACTCTTTAAATAAGTTAGCAGCAGACGCTCCGAGTGGAGTATACAATACTTCCTGTAACGCTCTTCAAAATATGCTCGATGTTTCGGATGTTCTATACAACATTGACTTTTACCATGCCACATTATGTCGCTTGGCATCTCTTTCTGAAAACAATATAAAGATTTGGCCACATACATTAAACATTATTTCTCATATGATAGATACGGTAGATGGTCCGGCATTTTTGACTACAAATTGTAAAAAGCATTCAACAAATTCTGAAAATACCTCAAAGTGCCCAGTTGCAATCATAATGCAATGTATGTCGAATTCATTGAAACAGCCGTTTTCTATAATGGATATAAAATGTATCCTAAGTTCGTTTAATCTAATAGAAAAATTATTCGATATTTATGACGTTTACGAGGCCGCGCAAGAACAGATTGAGACGCAGTTCTATCCAGCCGTTGCTAACTTTTACAAAAGAATAAACAAATGCAGTGTTGAAAATGAAAATAAAGTTCAACAATTCGATAGGTAATTTACAGGAAAATAGATTTTATTTCTGAAAATCTAAGATTGCAATCATATATAATTTCTAAAATTCTATTACAGTGCTGTCAAAAAAGTTTTATTAAAAATGGTATCAATACCACTCGGATTGCAAGCGCTCGTCAATGAGAAGTTAGTATTCGAAGAATTGATTCGAGGATTAATCGCTCCTTTAAGAGTAATCTGGAGTTCTACTGACATAGTCAGCTTCATTTCATCAGCTGGTTATTTTGATCTGGGCTACAATGTGCTCGCAAATCTCGGATCCCATGTTCTGTCAACTTTGTTGTCGCAAACCTGTACAAACGCAAAGGATCCCAGATTTTTTCATGATCCTTGGGACAGAGAAAATATTGACGAATTTCTACATATTCTCACATTATTTTCCCTTAATTTTAATTGTACGAAACTTAACCATTTATATTTTTTATTATACATATTCTTAACACATGATTGATGGATATATACATCCATTAACAGGTTTTGCTGCGTTTATGGTCAATGATAGCGAATCAGATAATGACGAGGAAAAGGATTATCCTTCAAATTTGTTTGAATTACTGCAGGCTGCAGTAGACGAGGATTCAATTTATCATTATTTAGCTCTTCTATCGTTGAATACTGTAATTTGGAATCTAGACGTTTGTGCTTATTTATCAAATTTGTTAAATTTCCAGGTAATTATATACGATGAAACAGCAGCTGTATATACTTGTATTTAATAATACAATTTTTTAGGAAGCGCTATTAGATATTCAGAAAGGTAACACAATTTTCCTTGAAGTTCGCAAAGAACAAAGCGACGATGAAACATATTATAAGACAGAGGACGATATTGATGATGGTGATAAGCCAGAACTGCGAAAAGAATACATAATTGATGAATGCAGTTTCGTACGACATGATATTTTATTAAAATCATATTACATGACATATAAAAGAAAACAGTATGTGATACCATTTGAGGAATATGAGCTTTTTTCGGAGTTTCCACCTCCCCGAATATACGCAGATATGATGGATTACCGAGAAATGGAATGCGATTCAGAGCTGAATGATATGCTGCAGGAGGAAAGGCCCGGATTGCTAGATATCAGTTGGGTTTCACAAGTTAGAGCGGCTCATAAAGCCTCGCGATGTCCAATTAAGGTAATTTCACAAAGATAAATGTAATACTCTATTTATAATAACAGAAATTAGAAAAATAATTTTTATTTTAGAATTCCATGATGACGAATTTGTTAAATCAAATGCACAAAGCTATTCCAACTGCGGAATGGGTAGAGCAGTTTGAATGGCAGGAGAATATAACATACGATACAGATTATTGGCTTCCGGAAGATATACATGCTATTAATATTGTTTTGAATTACGCTGAACAACGAGAGATTTTAAAGAACAATAACGATAGTCAGAAGAATTTGAAGCAATTCATTCATTCTGCCTACATATTTATACAATACAGTAAACCGAACAGATTCGAGGGTTTTGATTGGTTCTTGGCAACAGTGTTTATTATCTGTGATGGAGATGTGGATAAGTATGTAACTCGACATATTATCTTCAAATATTTCATTTATTATTGGAGGAAGTAAATCAGCATAAAAAATTTGAGCCTCAGCTGACCGCGAATTAATTCTTTGACAACTTTGTTTAACTTCCGGTATGGTCACGTATAGTGGCATAGTTCTTGTTCAATCAATATTTTTTGCGATATTTTAATCACAAAAAAAAATTGATTAAACAAGAATTTCAAAGCTATCAATAGCGATTAACTCAAGCAAATCATATATCATCATAGGCAGGTCTCAGATTGAAAACTTAGTTCTCACCGGGTCAATGTTTCTTTATTATCATCAACCCGTCTCAATATTTTCTTTTCATCATTGACCAGATAATATGCTATTATATCAATATATTATCAAATATGCTAATTAGCAATTGATTATAGATGCAAGACTTTTATCATGCAAGTAATTCAATTTCCATCAACATTGCTTCTCTGGCCGAAATTGGGCAAAGTCATCGATGAAAAAAATAACGAAGGCACTAGTTCGCAGTTTACTTTTATGCAAGTTTTAGAAACTATGGTTAACATCGAGCTTCCAAATATTAAATATGGATTAAAGGTAAATTTTGTAATTTAAAATATTTAGTTACCTAAAAATATAATGTTTTGATTTTTTTGATTGAAACGAAAAGGATGTCTTCGGTGTCAATTGGTGGATGATATTCAATAGAATGTTGTCGCAATGCTTCTGGGGAATCCTTCCATGGAGCGAAATCGTTCATTTTGTTGCAATATGTATTTTGTACCCATCCGATTATATGGTGTATTATTCTGTATCACTCTTGCAATTCTGCCAGGAAGAGCTGCTGCAGGATTTAACGAACAAAAAAATGTGGCCGGAGTGCATGGTATATACATGAAATGTACTAGAGTTATTTTCTGTTAATATCATTAAATAACTTGCTAAATGCATTTTTACACAGGTATTGGACGAGTATCGCTGTCATAATTATATTACGTATATGGATAATTTAGGTCAACGATATAGAAATCGGATTTTACCAGCAATGACTAAAAATTTAAATTCGGAAGATGAAATATAAACATATATATCTCACGAACTTATTAATTTAAAAAACACGAAAAAAAGATGCGTACCATTCAACATTGTTGAAAAAACAAATTACACATTCATGCAAAAGAAAATATCTTAAGGATTCTTAACATGAAATAATTAAACACCAGTAAAATGTATGTATATAACAAATAACAATTAATTATCGTAATTAATAGTTCCTGTTATTTCCTATAAGCGCTTTCAGTTTTCATTAGCTATTAATGGATGTACGTACACTTTGCACATATATGAGAACATTTTGTGTATAGATTGTATTTAGAAATCTTCATGTATACAACATAACATTGACTCTGGTACTCGTGTAATTCGCATACCTGCGAAATCCAACGATATACGAGTTATCGCTTGCAGATTTTCCAATGATAATACCTCAAACATAGAAATTAGATACCTTTTTACACATATACGATACAATAATCTCTCAATATTGTCATTCACTCTTTTATTTGTTAATTAAACAATCAATCTTCATGGATTGCGAAAAGTTTTGCTACTTCATTTAAATCGTCATACTTCGTGTTTCCTGTAAGAACCTGAAACAATATAAAAATTATTTCTATTTAAATTATATAATGTTATATTGATTGTATACGAATAAATCAGGAATATTTGAAAGGAATTATAACAAATACAAAAACAGATTAATGCTGTTAAATTTACCTGTCTGGCAAGCGACATTCGATTGAAGATATTCCACAGAACTATTCCTACTACAACATCATCTCGCAGATAGAAAACAACGCCCTTCTCAAAATCTTTGTATTTCATAGATTGCTCTGACTTTACTTTATCTTCACGCACTTTTTTCTTTTTTTCTTCTGCGTTATCTTCTATATTATTATTTTGTACAATTTGTGATATCGATGACTCCGATTTTTCATTAGATTGCGAGACTTCAGAATTTATTTTTTGTTCCTAAGAAAAAAATAGTCCAGAGAAATACTTTTATAATTAAATATATCATATATTCACTGTAAGGATTACTTACATCGTTAAGATTAACCGGCATCGCATTTGCTCCTGTCGTTTTTGCAAAAACTCCAACAGTTGGCAAAGATGAATCTACAATACCTATCGCTTCATATCCTACATCAGGTCCCAAATCTGACCAAAACATCGATTGATGCAGATAAGGTTTACCTGTAAAGAGAAATTTATGAGTCCATATTTTCGTAAATGCATTATTTTAGAGATATCTCTGAATTTGTTGAATTACCTGCGCCGGTCATATTTTCACCTGCTAATCTTCCAGAGGTAACTGCATGATCATGATGTTCGACTCTTCTTCTACCAAGTTTAACGTCATAGAAACATGCGGCGTCTCCAGCAACCCAAAGATTGCTTCTTGCCTCTAATTCAGCGTTAACGAGGAATCCTCCTATTTTAGGATCTGTCTCTAAATTGGAAGTTGTTGCCAAATCTGTATTTGGTTGAACACCTACCGCTACTATCACTTGATCAGCATCAATCTTTTTACCACACAAAAAGATAAAAAATTTCAATATAAAACGAAGTACTTAACTAATTACATAGAAAGTTATATAATTATATATAAAATTACGTGAGCTCTTGAATATATCAACATACAGTCTGACCACCAGTGAGGACAAGGGATAATCGACCATTTTTGTATTTATAATCTTGAACTTCTGTGTTAGACATGGTGCGCACACCTTCTGCTTCAGCTTTTTTCGTGGTCCATTCACTCAAATATTCTGGTAATACTTGTGCCATTATAAATTTTTCTTTATAAATTTGGAAAATATTTTTAGATTTATCTACAATAAAACACATTTTTTCATTACAAATTATTAACAAATATTTTAATAGTGAATAAAAAACTTACAACTCCTAGCAAGTGCGCAAGCGAGTTCCGAACCAAGAAATCCACCACCGATAACGACAACATTCTTGCATTTAGGATTAGAAACATTTTCTTCCAAATCGAGAAAATTATCTTTTGTTCTGAACGTTATAACCTTATCTTTTATACCATCCTCGGCGGATTCGAATATCGGTAGATGTTTAGGCGATGTGCCTGCGAATACAATTACATATAGAAAATTTAATTTTAAATTTTTATTTTGTCTGATAACATTTTTGAACAGAATTTACCAGTTGCAATGAGGCATTTATTGTAATTTATTTCATAATCATTTTCGAGAGTCACAATTTTATTTATAACATCAATTTTTGTTACTTTCCAACCCATGGCTACAGCAACTCCACCCTTATCTGATTCGGTAAGATTAGTAACATTTGAGTAAAATTCTCGTGGCTCATAGAATATACTATAAAATAAATATAAATATTCTGTATGTAAGTAAAAAGATAATTGTAAGGACATTATTCATCGTATGTTTAAACTGACAAAATTTACCTTCTCTGAGTTCCATTCCATTGGTTAAAACGTAATTGTGCAGTTGTATCTCTATCTGTATTATACCAAAGTTCTTTAGATAATGGTGGCCTCATATATGGAAATTCTTCCTCTTGTGCTATAACTAAAACCTGGAAGAAAATTCTTATGTACAAAAATAAAAAAAAAAGCAAATCTATTAATATACTCCATACCTTAGCTTTGGGATCTCTAGATTTAATTGATCTAAATGCTGAAAATGCAGCCGTTCCTCCACCTATCAATAGATAAGGAACTTCTTTGGGGATTAATTTGGAATCTGCTGGAACTTTTACTTTGTTTTTAGATCTCAAATGCCTTCTCCCTTCTTTTTTTTCTAAAAGCACAAATAGTATATGTAAATAGTAATATTTTTAATATTTCTATTATTCCAACATACAATTTTTTATGTAACTTACGTTTACTTTGACTTTTCTGTTGATCTGTTTTGTCATCTTTCAAAAAAGATGAAGATATCTGTTAAAAACGTTACAATAAAAAAATTGAATTAATCAGCGTTCTTAACCAAATAAAAATTGTCATACATTGTAATACCTTGTATGCAACTCCTGTCACAATTAAAACAGCAACTAAGTGCCAATAGCTAAATTGATATTTTCCATTTTTTCTAAAACCTGAGCCTTTTTCGTTCAGTTGAATCTGTTTGTTGTTTGGTTTACATTTTTCTTGCGGTGCGGGACAAGGCGCTCCAGTTTCACAGACAGGAATTGTTTTTTGTGACTGGAGATATTTAGATTCAGACACACATTCCTCTGGTTTGACAGTGGTACCCGATGGCTTATGTGGCTTTTTATTGCTTGCATCGCTATTGTGGCGTAAGTTACTAATATTTACAACTCCTGTAATGTATTTTTGTAAGTTATCAATAGGTATTATAAACAAGGGAGTATTCTCAAAAAATCCTTGATAATCTATTTTATATGTAACGTTTTACTGCATTATTCATATTACTGTTCAGCCAGCTACTTTTAGTCAGTAAAAAGTTATCTTTGATTCAAAAAGATAACATCACTTTACTAGTAAAAAATAGCACAGTAATATGAATGATGCAATACTAGATACATAAAATGTATTATATTTTGAAGTTAATAAAATGAAAAAAAAGGGATTTATCAAAAAAAACATTTATTATAATTTTCTCAAAAGACACGAAAATATCTTTACATTTCAAATTATTAATAATGTAACATAATACAACTTTACAAAACTAAAAGAAAGTGTCTTCAGGTTAGGTTATTCGCTGCCTATTTCAGAGCAGATAAGCCACATGGAAGAGAGAGACTGTAAACACAGTCCCATTGATCCAAACCGTACAATTATCGCTTGGAAGGTTACGCAACCGGAGTAGAGAATATTGTGCAGAAAAAAAAGAAAATGACGAAAAAACGTAAAACAAGCGGGAAACAAGAACGTTCTTTCAAATCAATATCCCGAGGCATGAATAAGAACAAGAAAAGGGCAGAAAAGGAGAGAATTCGCTGAGATAGCTAACACTCACCGGCGTATTTTACAGATCGATACAGGTGATTCACATGTGTGAGCCTGGCGGGCAATTGGCCGACGATTCTACCGCAGACGAACATCTTCGCCAGGCCGGTTGTCTTTATGCAATATGGTGGGCGTTCGCCGTGTTTTCCACTCAGCTGCTACTGTGTGCAGCAATCAGTCCGATCAGCCGCTGGCTGTTGCCGCCGCTTTTACCCTGGACCGGAAGGATGCTCGCCGGAAGGATGCCCGCTGCGCGACACGCCATTACCTGGATTCTCACCTCCTTCCTTTCTCAAAGTCGCACCAAATCGCGAAAAAACGACCCTCTACTTGTAGCGACTGGAATGATTAGCGATGAGTGATGACTGATGGGCAAAACACGTGAATTTTTGATACCGCTTTGTCGCGATGGGCGCGTATATACACCGAACACACGACGAACCGGTGCAAATTACTAGCGGGACCGCCTTTTGCCTTTTTTAGCGCATGCGCGCCGTTTCGGAGGTGCGTCTAGATTCTAGAAGTGCGTTCCAAAACTCGACTATGTCAACCCGGGCTGCGTTCGGAAATATCATTCGAGTGTCCCCATGTATCAATTTGCTGGATTCACACTGCATCCGATGTTCGTCGTACGACTCTCTGCAACCAATCAGAAAACAGGATTCCGATGGATTTTGCTTCGTATCATCGGAATCCTGTTTTCTGATTGGTTGCAGAGAGTCGGACGACGCACATCGGATGCAGTGTGAATCCAGCAATTGGTTGCATTCAGCAGACTCAACAGTTGAGTCCGCTGAATGCGTCCATTTTATCTTTATAGCCCTAAATACAATGCGAGGCATTGATAAATACAGCAATTCGCGTTGCTCGCACTTTTTTGCACTCGGCATCTTCGCTTTCTCTTTTTTCAAAGCCAAATATATATCTATCTCATTTTAAGTACAAAAATATTTGGGGATTTCATGCAACGCGAACAGACCTCGTACTGTCAGGTGTTCAAGTGTTGCACTGGTCAGCACTGGTGGGCGATAGTGTAGCCAAGAGAAAACGCGCCGCTGTTAGAATTCTATTGAAACGGAATTCTTTGGTT